TTGCCAGTTCCAACATCTTCCAAGTACCAGTCAGGGACGGCTCGTTCTTAATTGCCACTCATCACAATGATGATTTATTGGCTCTCAGAGTTGTTCCTCTTGATCTCACAGCTTCAGAATGTAGTACATTACTTAGAGCCGGTATTTGCTGTGTTAATCAAGTGTGGGGCTTGGGCTAAGGTCCCTGTCTCACTGTACTTTATGGCAATGAGTTGTAATACGGGCGGGCTCCAGCAGCAGTGCAGGACGGACGTGGCCGTGGACTGGTACCTGTCCGTCCGGCTGCTCCTCACCGTCCTGGCCCTCGCCCTCACATCTGTCTGCATGAGGCCGTGGGGAGCCGAGGGGGAGCAGCCCTGGGAGCCAGCAGCTGCTGAAGCGGCCCGGGAGAGAGGCCCTGGGGACCAAACGGCGGCGGGAGTGGGCCCGGAGGCCAGCAGGGAGCGGCTGCCAGTGGAGGAGGTCGTCGTGATCAAGGAGTGGAAAGAGGCGGCTGCCGAGCAGCAGGAGAAGGCGGCGGAGGAGCCGAGCCCCGCGGCCGAGCCCAGCCCTGCGATGGCCAAGAGCATTCCCTGGAAGCCGCCCGCCGAGCCCCAGGAGGATGCAGGAGACCCCGCAGCATTTCCCAGCAAGGCAGAGGAGGAAGAGCTGGACTCAGAAAAAGAGAAGCTGGTGGTGAGGGAGCTGCAAGCACAGCAGCTACACCAGCCCCAGTGACAAGTACAGCAGCATCGTTTGAGAGTTCTGAAGGTTTTGAATGGCCTTTGGGTACCCTTGGGACCTGCCTGCTGATTGTGATGGGGGTCAGCATGTTGGCACACACACAGAGTGTGTTTTATCCACCACCATTTTGTCTGATCTCAAAAGTTAAGCAGTCAGGTTTGGGTCTTGTCTGGGGTTAGACGATGATATAGGAGGACCAGGGGATTTTCCCCAAGGCTGGAAAGTCATGAGTGGCAGGGCATGTGGGACAATATGGGCAAGTATCTAGCCCACTGGGCCCCTCCAGTGCTTTGGAAGCATTGGAGATGGAAGGCAGCTGTATGGAGTCCCCAGCGACAAGCTGCAGAAACTGCTGAAGGGGACAGTGAATTACTTTGAGCCTGGTGGGCCCGTGGCACTTGAGACCAACAGAGCAGAGATGCAACATAGAGGTGGACTCATGATCGAGGGGTGGACTTAGCAATGGGCACTATTGGCTATTCATGAGTGTGAAACATGTGCTGCCATTAAACAAGCCAAACGGTTAAAGCCTCTTTGGTATGGAGGACGATGGCTGAAGTATAAATATGGGGAGGCCTGGCAGACTGACTATATCACACTGCCACCAACCCGCCAAGGTAAGCGCCATGTGCTTACTATGGTGGAAGCAACCACCGGATGGCTGGAAACGTACACTGTGCCCCCCGCCACTGCCCGGAACACTGTCCTGGGCCTTGAGAAACACATTTTGTGGCGACATGGCACCCCAGAGAGAATTGAGTCAGACAATGGGACTCATTTCCAGAATAACCTTATAGACATTTGGGCCAAAGAGCATGGCATTGAGTGGGTATATCACATCCCCTGCCATGCACCAGCCTCTGGGAAAATCGAAAGGTACAATGGGCTGTTAAAAACTACACTGAGAGCAATGGGTGGGGGAACTTTCAAGCATTGGGATACACACTTACCAAAGGCCACCTGGTTGGTCAACACCAGAGGATCTGCCAACAGGGCTGGCCCAGCACTGTCAGAACTTTTACATATTGTAGAGGGGGACAAAGTTCCTGTGGTGCATATGAAGAATTTGCTGGGAAAGACAGTCTGGGTTATTCCTGCTTCAAGTAAAGGCAAACCCACTCATGGGATTGCTTTTGCTCAGGGACCTGGATACACTTGGTAGGTAATGTGGGAAGATGGGGAAGTCCAATGTATACCTCAAAGGGATTTGATTTTAGGGGAAAACAGACAATAAACTTAATTGTATGCTGCTGCCTGCTGTGTAATACTTTTATAGCCCATCAACCAGATGTCTTCAGGTCACCAGGGACTAGTCCTGACTTCCCTCCAACCATCATCCAAACAGAGAATGAACTTTGATAGAACCAGACGAGTTCTGCAGTAAGGGAACAATCAGCATCAGCAGGCAACGATCCAATACTACACACAGCCTCTCCTGTTCTGAAAGACTGTTACAAGAGATGGAGCCTGACATCATGGGCCAGGTGGACTCATGTCCTGGGTTTAGCAGTAGCAGTCATTTTTCTCTTTCTTGGTAGCTGGTGCAGTGCTGTGTTTTGGCTTTTGGCCTGGGAACAGAGCTGATAACAATGATGTTTTGGCTTGGCCAAGAACTTTGTGAGCCTCATGCTCTGCCAGGGAGGAGGGGAAGCTGGGAGGAAGCAGAGACAGGACACCTGACCCAAACTGACCAAAGAGGTATTCCGTACCACAGCACATCATGCCCAGGATGTAACTGGGGAGTTACCCGGAAGGACTAGAGTGGACTGCAGGGTTGGAGGAGGTATCGGTCGGTGCTTGGTTGGGCTGGGGGGAGCAAGTTATCAGTCGCCTGGTGATGAGGTGTTGTATTCTCTTCCCTTGTTATTTCCTTTATCATTATTATTATTGGTGGTAGCAGCAGTGATTTGTGTTGTATCTCAGTTACTAAACCGTTCTTATCTCAACCCGTGGGAGTTGCATTCTTTCTGATTCTCCTCTCCGTCCCTCCAGGAGTAGGGGGAGGGCAAGAAGGGGAAGGGGAGTGAGTGAAAGCTGTCTGGTTGGGGTTAAACCACAACAACTCAGCAGCTTTATAGGGACTGGTCCATGCACTAAGATAGGAGTGCACTGAGATAAGAGTGATGGTATATTCAAAATGTGGGATCTGAGCATGACGTGAATGGTATGGAATATGAAGATAGGCTGAGAAAGTTGGGACTGGTCAGCCTGGAGAAGAGAAGGCTGCGTGGAGACCTCATAGCAGCCTTCCAGTATCTGAAGGGGGCCTACAGGGATGCTGGGGATGGACTCTTCATTAGGGACTGTAGTGACAGGACAAGGGGTAATGGGTTAAAACTTAAACAGGGGAAGTTTAGATTGGATATAAGGAAGAAATTCTTTCCTGTTAGGGTAGTGAGGCACTGGAATGGGTTGCCCAGGGAGGTTGTCAATGCTCCATCCCTGGCAGTGTTCAAGGCCAGGTTGGACGAGGCCTTGGGTGATATGGTTTAGAGTGAGGTGCCCCTGACCATGGCAGGGGGGTTGGAACTTGATGATCTTAAGGTCCTTTCCAATCCTAACTATTCTATGATTCTATAATGTCCTGGGTTTAGCAGTAGCAGTCATTTTTTCTCTTTTTTGGTAGCTGGTGCAGTGCTGGTGCTAACTTTCGGGCTGGGAACAGAGCTGACACCATGGAATTTCCTTTCATAACTGTGAATACAGAGTGTGAGCAATGATAGAGAATCCAGGTCCATATTTCCTCCAGGATCCTGGAGGACCCAGAAGCTTTTGTAAATCCTTCCTAGACTGGGGCATCTGCCCTTGTTCTGTTTTTCTGAAGTTGTCTGTAGGAATCAATGCACTGCTGCTATCCACCAAGTACCCCCCGATTTGACTGGTTTCTGCTTGGTTTCTGACATTCTAGCCTGTCCTGGCCTGCCTGTCCTGTCTAATGATGGGATAAGAAACAGGCTGCCCACAGAAGTGGTTGTGTCACTACCCCTGGAGGTATATAAACGACATGTTCTAAAGGTCGTGAGTGATGTGCTGGTTTGCCAGTGTTCGGTTAATGGTGGACTCGATGTTCTTAAGGGTCTTTTCCAAAGTAAATGAATCCATGATTCTACACAATCCTGTTTTTTAGACCAAACTGTCTCTCATGAGAGAAATGACACTGCAGGAAGGCAGTGTGTCTGCCAGCTGAGGGAGGGAACATCACTGCTTGCTTCAGGCTCTTTCCCATGGAGTTCCCTGGAACCCCAGGGAGCCCTGGAGGGAGCCCAGTGGGGCAGAGGCAGAGCCACCTTGGGCTGGGCCTCTGCTGCTGAGCTGGGCCGGGCTCCTGGGATGCAGATAGATGCTGGCAAGTGGGCAGAGCTGCAGAGAGACAGCTCTGCCCAGGAGCAAGGCTGGGGCACTGCCTGCAGGCACCCAGGGGAGACCTCTGAGCCTCAGAGAGCTTAAAGGCACTTGGCAGTGGAGGATGCTGAGAGCTCCCTGCAGGAGAAACCTTCCCAGCCCTGTGCATGGTAAGGCTCTGGGTGCAGGGCAATGCAGCTGCAGCTCCTGGAGGGATCTCCTCAAGCTGCTGCCTCGGACAGTCCATGGGATCTGTCAGGAGCTCTCTCCTCGTCTCTCTGTGTAGATAAGGAGGAGGATGTGCTGCAGAGCAGGGCTTCCCTCTGCACCATGGGAGGGACAGGACAAGGCAGGTCCCTTGTCCCGGGGCTGGCTGCAGGGTGTGAATGTGGGTGTGCAGCCGGGGGTGCCCAGCGCTGTCCTTGCAAGCAGGGTCCCTGCAGCCCAGGGGCTGTGTGCAGGGGCAGGGACTCTGCCACCTGCCAGGGTCACCACTCAGCCTGCCTGGGAGCTCCCCATGGTGCTAGGGGAGAAGCCGGGGGAAAAGGAACAACCCTTGACAGGGAAGGAAAAGTGTTCTTGTGCACTGGAGAGGGTGCTGTGTGGGTCAGGGCTGCTCAGAGCTCCACATCACTCTGAGCACGTTTGCAGAGGGTCCTTCTGAAAGACACTAAAGAAGCATCTGTCCTTGAAGGAAGGATCCTGAGCTTTGATGTTTTTCATTCTTGGTGGGCAGTTTGAGCAGTGGGAGCCGATAACTTACTTCTCTGCTTTCGAGCAAACAAACCGACCAGCCTCAGAGACAATCATGACCAAGTCACACTGAGCCCCTCATCTGCAGCCTGAAATTGTTCAGTCGTGAGTGTGTAAATTGAACTTCTGTATCTGACATCCCTCCTGTCCTAACCTGTACCTGCCTTTTTCTCCAGTGACAGTGCCCCATGCCCAGAGGCAGCAGATGTCCAACGGCAGCTCCATCACCCACTTCCTCCTCCTGCCATTCGCAGCCACACGGGAGCTGCAGCTCTGCCACTTCTGGCTCTTCCTGGGCATCTTCCTGGCTGCAATCGTGGGCAACGGCCTCATCATCACCAGCACAGCCTGCGACCAGCACCTCCACACCCCCATGTACTTCTTCCTCCTCAACCTCTCCCTGCTGGACCTGGGCTGCATCTCCACCACTCTCCCCAACTCCATGGCCAATTCCCTCTGGGACACCAGGGCCATCTCCTACACAGGTTGTGCTGCACAGCTCTTTTTCTTTCTCTTCTTCTTTTCAGCTGAGTTTTATCTTCTCACTGTCATGTCCTACGACCGCTATGTGGCCATCTGCAAGCCCCTGCACTACGGGACCCTCCTGGGCAGCAGAGCTTGTGTCCACATGGCAGCAGCTGCCTGGGGCACTGGGTTTCTCAATGCTCTAGTGAACACAGCCAATACATTTTCACTACCCCTCTGCCAAGGCAATGCTGTGGAGCAGTTCTTCTGTGAAATCCCCCAGATCCTCAAGCTCTCCTGCTCACATTCCTACCTCAGGGAAGTTGGGCTTCTTGTGGTTGCTGCTCTGATTGCTATTGGCTGTTTTGTTTTCATTGTGGGGTCCTATGCGCAGGTCTTCAGGGCTGTGCTGAGGATCCCCTCAGAGCAGGGACGCCACAAAGCCTTTTCCACGTGCCTCCCTCACCTGGCTGTGCTCTTCCTGCTTATCAGCACTGCTGTCTTTGCCTACCTGAAGCCTCCTTCTATGTCTTCCCCAGCCCTGGATCTGGTGTTGTCATTGCTGTACTCAGTGGTGCCTCCAGCACTGAATCCTCTCATCTACAGCCTGAGGAACCAGGAGCTCAAGGATGTGGTGAGGAAGCTGGTGACTGGAGGTGTTTCAGCAGTCATACACTGCTTGCTTTCCTCTGCAAAGGGCTCCCAGTGGAGGTCATGACAGGTCATGTCTGTCTTCCCTGCTTTACATTTGTTTTCCTGTTTCAATTTGTGATGATGTTGTCTTCATAGAAATGTCACTTTTCATTTCCTTCTCCTTGAGTAGCAACTCGTGTTGTGTAAGCCACAGACTTTGTGTCACTGTGGGTCTCTCATTGTATTTAAGGGTAATAAATGATCTTCTCTGTGATATGTCCTCACATGTCAGGAATGAAGGGGAATGAAAGCAGCTTTCTGGCTGCTCCAGCTCTGGGATGGCTGCTCTGTGTCTGGAGCAGGAAGAGCTCTTGCGGAGCCCAAGGGCCGGGGCTGTTGTGCTGGTGTGGGGAGATGGGATGGCATGGGGGGGCTGCAGAGCTCTCAGGGTGTCCTGGGCAGGAGAGCAAGGGACACAGGGGTCCCTGCAGGGCACTACCCTGCAATGGCCCAGGCTGGGGCTGCCTGGCTGGGAGCAGCCCATGAGAAAGGTCTGGGTGGGCAGGAGCTGGACAGGAGGCAGCGTGTGCCCTGGCAGCAATGGAAGACAGCAGCATCGCAGGCTGTATGAGCAGGAGCACGGCAGGAGAACAAGGGAAGGGATGCTCTGGAATGCTCCATCCAGGTTTCAGACCCCCAGTTCAGGAATGCTCTTGGCAAGCAGGAGCGGGTTTAGCAACGGGCCCTCAGGACTGGAGCACGGTGCCTGTGGGGAGAGGCTGGGGGAGCTGGGCTTGTCCAGCCTGGAGAAGGAAAGGCCAGTGGAGACCTGGCAGTCTCTGGCCTTGTCGTTTTCCAACTTGGACTGAATCAATCCTCAAATTGCTTGCTCTGGCCCTGTTCCTGACAGGTTAGAGTTGAGACCTCCTGGGGTCCATTCCCACCTCTTTTCTCTTATGATCCTATAATGATGGGATTATGAAGGGCCACAAAGATGCTCCAAGGGCTGGAGCACTCCTCCAGACATCTTCATAACTAGATGAAGACAGGGTGAGAGAGCTGGAGGTGTTCAGCCTGGAGACGAGAACGCTTCAGGGAGACATTTCAGCAATCTGCAAATACCTAGGCAGGGCCTACAGGAAATCTGGAGAGGGGCTTTTTACAAGGCTGTGCAGTGACAGGACAAGGGGGAATGGTTTTAAGATGAAAAAAAGGTAGATTTAGCTTGGATATTAACAGGAAGTTCTTCCCTGCAAGATTGCTGAGGCGCTGGCACTTCAGTGCCCTGAGAAGCTGTGGCAGCTCCATCCCTGCCGGTGTTCAAGGCCAGGTTGGTTGGGAGTCAGCATTACTCTGAAGCAATGCTTTGTCCAGCTCTGATGTTCACAAGGGATGTCTGATGAAATCCAAGTTCATTGTGAAGTTCACTACTTGTACTCATGACTCAAATGAGTCTGGGCTACACAAGAGAGACTCAGCATGGCGTTAAAGTCGATTTGGCTGTGTTATTTATTTACTAGTAGAACACTGCTGAGGATTCTTTTTAGGCATAGAAAACATTATATGTATGACTGAAAATACTGAGAGTATTTAAATAGCCAATCAGTATTGAAACAGGGAGAAGTTCTCAGCCCTTTCTACCTTAGTGCAGAGCCAGGAGAGATGCAGTGTCCATCAGTCCTTTGCCATTTGCTCTGTGCTTACATTCGCACTGCCTTTAAATTGCCTTCACACACAAACTGATCTTAAGAACCCCCGCAAGCATCTGTCCAGTGCTGATAGCAGGGCAGCACGGTTTCAAAGGACAGAGCACAGAGCTAACATGGGGAGAAGCAAAGGACTGAGCGCAGCAGAGCATGGCCTTCAGCCACCTCCAGTGCCAGACACCAAGAGAGCTGCCTGAAAGCACCCTCCCCAGGGCTGGGCTGCACTTTCCCCCTGCTCTCTGCCCATGTCTCTGCTGCATGGAGCTCTGCTCCCTCACTGCTCGAAGAGCCCATGCGATGGGCTGTGTGCTCAGCTCTGCCCTGCACATTCCTCCCAGCTGCACTACACAAACTTGCCTGGAATGCAGGATCCATCCCTGAGCCTGGAGAATGCAGGAACCTCCTGCAGTGAGCTGTCGCTGCTGCAGGGGAAGTGCAAAGCTTCTGTGAGACTCTTGTGAATGCAGGCAGACAGTGGGGTGTGCACAGCAGAGGGTGCTACAGGCAGGAAGCTGTCCCAGATGAGGTGCCCTGTCCCCACAGCATGGGATACCTTCACCCAAGGACACCACCTTTCCTTTTGGCTCTTGCCAAGAAGTTCTCAATCCAGACCATTGGCTTTTCCCACTGCTCTCCCATGGTGCTTAGTTCTCTATACTGATGGCCTCACCTGTTCCTCTAGAAGCCTCCTTTAGATCAGCTTGCTGAGGGGTATTCTCTCCACGTGACTATAGTAGCAGCCTACAACTACTTGAAATGTAGCTTAGATATGATGGAGGTTTATTTGCTAGCAGGAAGAGAAACCTCTGCAAAGTGCAGCTTGGAAGGTTCAGACTCAACGTTAGGAAAGAGAAATGTCTCTCAAAGGTGGACTTGTGGTGCAAGAGGTCACCCAGAAGGAGTCTGGCTCAGCCCATGGCTTTGTGTTTCAAGGAACAGACAGCGATGGGTGCAGAGATGTGACTGAAGGTACAGAAATGCCAGGTGAGAGCTAGGTGGGAAAGCAAGATGGGTGTCAACAGCCTGAAGGGAAAGAGGTGCAGGCATGGGCCAGTGAAGGACAGCCTGCAGCAGAGATGGCTGAGGATTCTGGCAAGGCTGAAAGGCCCAAAAGAACAAAAGGCCTTTGTGCCCTGGGCTATGGCAGTTACCTCTTTCATCAAGACTTTTGAGGAGAACTTTCATTTTCAGGATTTCAGGCTCTGTTCCTCCAAGGGCTGTGGTCAGGGCTTGGCCTTTCTGCTTCATCAAACAAACCAACGGTTTTCTCAGCATCAGACTCCTGCATTTTGCCTTTGTCTGCCTGTAATCACACCCTCCAGTTACTTGCTTTAACGAGTCCCTGGGGAGGCTTTGTCAGTAACATCCCTCAGTGGGGCCCATTAATGCTGAAGCGACTTGGGAATTTATTTCTGACTTGGACTTCTTGAGAGGTTTATTGAGTTTCCTCTCAGTATCTCAGGTTCACGAATTCAACCTAAATACACCATGGGGCTCATTAAAACCTTTGCGTGTTTCAGATCAGAAAGCACAAATGGAGGTTTCTGAGTGCAGAGAGATTACAAAGATCATCTGATAAAAGTTATTTTTGAGTGTTTATTTTCATACTTTTCAGTTTAGAAATTTCTATGCCTACTGGCATGCCTGGCATAGGGATCACTAGAACCTGCCAGGGCCCTGCCAGCTTCCGCAATGCCCGGTGGGCTTCGTGGGTGTTGCCGGAGCCAGGCAGGTCCCCTTGTGCTGAGCTCCCAGTGACAGCTCCAGCAGCTGCACTGCCCAGGGGCTGCTCCTGCCCTGACACCTTCTCAGCACCTCTGACACCAGCAGCTCCTGCACACAGAAGGCTCCTGCTTCACCCCCAGCACCTCTGCAGGCAGAGCTGAGCTCCAAGCACAGGAACAAGCCCAGTGCCTCCCCCTCACCCATCCCCTGCTCCTACAGCTGGGATGGCACCAGCACATCTCCTGACAGCCTGACTGTTGTCAAGGGGGGACCAGCCTCTGCGCAGCCGCCTCATGGAGGTCCCTCACTGGTTGCTCTTTTTTAGTGCCACTGGTCTGATATGGAACATGCGCAGGGTCACAGCTCAACCTGGGCAATGGAACAGGGCGTCACGGCCACCTATGACAAGCAGAGAGTGACCGACATTCACACAGCAGAGAATCATGGAATCCCAGACTGCGATGGGCCGGAAGGGACCTTAAAGCTCATCCAGCTCCAACCCCTGCCATGGGCAGGGACACCTTTCACTAGAGCAGCTTCCTCCAAGTCCCTGTGTCCAGCCTGGCCTTAAACACTGCCACGGATGGGGCAGCCACAGCTTCTCTGGGCAAGAGTCTGTAAGGGTCTCACTACCATCAATGTGAAGAATATTTTCCTAATATGGAACGAAATTAAATGAAATAAGTGAAATGAAATCCTGTTTCCACTTGGAACCATTGTGTGCCCTTAAAAATGATTCTGGAGCTGAAAAACATCTGATTTATCAGGCAAATAACAGGCTCATCATTGTTTGACTAATGGTCAGTGCAGGGATTAAAATGGAATAGCACAGCACAGTAGAGCACAGAACAACACAGCTATGGAGATCCTCCTGCCCTGGTAGTGGAGTATCTGGAGGTGAACTCACCCCCCAGTCCGCAGTGAGGATCACTGGGGCCCAGGCTCTGCAGAGACACTGGCTCAGGCAGTCGACTGCGTCCCATCTGCCTTGACAAACTGCCACCACAATCCACAAGCGGCCCGTGCCCACTGCACCCAGAGGCTGGGATGCAAAACACAGAATTATAAGGGTGTCCTAGGCACATGGGGAACCCCAAATGTGGTTTTACACAGGGTTCTCACACTCTTCAAACGGTCACGCTCATGCTACTTCTGCTGTAGTCCTGCTCTTATCTATTGATGCAGATGTCCCTGGATGAGTCCTGCAAGAGATACTGATTAATGGTGTGCGGGACAGTGGGATTGTTCCAAAGAAATCCTGGAGGGGCTGGGATTCTGCCATTATTTCTGCTGTGTTGCGATACCCCTCCTCCTTCAGAGACAGCTCGAGATACCCTAAAGAAAAGTCCTAGTTCCAGGGCTGGAATGAAGCTTCCAGTACAAATCCACTACCTCACCACATTACAGTGTACATATAAATATATATAGACACATATATAAATAAAACACCTATTAATACTTGAAAGACTGGTTGATTTAGCAGTTAGGGGAAGAGAATTTTCATAACATGACTTGTGGGTCCCACCAACCAGGGCCCCGAACCCAGTGACAAGGTGGCGAGAGGCAGCAAAGATGCCATTCCAGCGGGATCAGTCTCCTGAGATGGGAGAGGAAAAAACAACCCAGAAGTGAAACAGCCTGAAGCAAGCACTGATGTTCCCTCCCTCAGCTGGCAGACACACTGCTTCCTGCAGTGTCATTTGTCTGCTGAGGGACAGATTTAAGGCTAAAAACCTACTTTTCATAGACTCACAGAATCATTTCATTTGAAAAGAACCTTGAGAACATCGAGTCCAACCATTAACCTGTCCCTAACAAGTCCACACG